CCAAAACGCGTTTACTTTCGATATTTCCCTTCCCCTCTCTCTTTCTCTCTTCTTCCCCTCTTTGTCCTCTCCCTCACTATCTTCCTCTCCCCTCCATTTTTTTAAGGCAGTGGTTGGGGTTGGGTGCGGTTGATGCTGCGAACGGTGTGTTGGGTGCGATTTTCGGAACGACGACGCTGCTGCGAACGCAGCGTCACGATTTTAGGTTGGTAGTGGGTCCGATTTTGGGAGCGACGACGCTGCTACGAATGCAGCGTCGCGATTTTAGGTGTTTCCGGTTGTTGAGAACGGTGCCGTTGCTAAGAACAATGCAATTTTGGGTTGGATACAGTTTGGGTTGGGTATGATTTTCGGTTGGGTGCAGTGGTGGTTCTGATGCGGTTTGTTGCGATTTGGTGGTTGTAGTGGTGGTGTGCTGTGATTTGGTGGTTGGTGGTGTTCTGCTGTAGTGGTGGTTTTGGTTTCAGGCGACGGCGGTGATTGGTGCAGGAGGCGATTTTTCTTGATTTTCTATCGCGACGCTGTAGTGGTGGTTTTGGTTTTAGGCGGTGGTTGGTGCAAGCGGCAATGGTGGTGGTTGGGGTAACAAAGAAAATCGAAAGCACTCAAAACACTTTTTGAAATTTTTGGCTTAGTTTTAACTGAAAACATTTTTCTTTGTAAATTTTAAACTTGTTTTCAAAAACAAGTTTTCGAAAATAGGAAAAAGAACGCGTTTTCACTATTTTGAAAAATCGAAAACAGAAAACGACTTGAAAATGGTAAAGAGAACATACCCTAATAGTTTTATTTTGGCATATATAAGTTTCTAATTGAACAAATTTGCCGACGAAATAGCGACAACCTTCCAATTTTAGAAAATTTACAATGTCTAGTAGAGTTATCTCTTAATATGTAAATGTATTACAGTTTCATGTCATTTCACTCTGAATTTAGGGTCCTGTAAACATAAATGGCTAACTTTTTCCTCTTTAATTTGTTTTCATAGCTTCTAAGTTTAAAGAATCTTTAAACTTGAATAAAGCGTGTAGTTGACACTTGTATAATTGTCAAAAATTAGTGACTCTTTAATCTCGTCCATTGAATATAACTGAGTAAATGAGTATGACAATGAACACCACAAACACACCAAGATTTGTCGCTCAAAGAATCTTAATCATAGAGCATTAACAAATCTTTGAGGGTTAGGAATATTAAGTGTGTGAGTTTAGTGATTGCAACATAGTGGAATTTCTAGGTGGATTTGCAATAACAAGCAATTTTTAAGGTGTTTTTAGCCATTAAAAAGAATTGTTAAGCTAAGGCCTCGNAATTGGAAGAGAGAGAGACGGAAGGCAGACGGGATGAAGAGAGAGAGAGAGAGAGAGAGAGAGAGAGAGAGGGGAAGAAAATGAGGAAGGAAGAGAACATGTTTTTCAATTTTAGGTTTTCCAAAACAATTTTTCAAAATATCAAAAAGAACACATTTTCAACAATCTCAAAATAGGCACTCAAAACACAAAACACAAAATTAATTCAAAATTCAAAACACAAAACTGAAACATAAAGAGAACAGCCCCTAAGCTTTTTTCAGTATTCTTTCAAATAGACCTTTGGGGTGAGTGGACACCAAAAAAGCGAAATCCAATTACAAGATCTGGACGGACTTCGGATTGTAATTATACAAAAGGAATAACAAAAAGCAACTTTCCATCTATCTCTATAGGCGACAGACGGCTTTACTTGGAAGGGTTTGCACTGTCCTACTTGGAAAACTATTTTCACATTTTCACTGTGTAGTCCTTCAACTTTTATTACTATTGCAATTAAGGTCAAGACTTCTAAGTTACCAAAGGGGCTTTTCGAGCCTACATGATTTAAGCTCCAATAACTGAACCACAATCACACAGACTTGAGATCATATTGAACAATTATTAGTTTTGCTCACTTTACTAAAGTCGAAAAATTGAACTCCTAATTATATAAAAGTATATAAGCAATAATATTTTAGTTTAAGCTGCTCTCAAATGAATATCAGCTCATTAAAACATTGGTAGGGTGACAAAATTCCGAACTCAAATACGTACTTACAACTTTGACTTATTTTAGCTCCCAATTTATCTAGCTACTTAATTGTATAATTAGATCTTAATAGTGACACATCAAGGAATGTCGAGTTCACAAATAGCAACAACATTATTGAAGCAATCCATCAAACAATCGAGTACATATGAATTTCCACAGACGGTAGTGGTGGCTCGGCTCGGCCCGGCCCGGCCCGGCCCGTATACACACGAGCTCGGCAAGTGCTCGCCACGAGCCGTGCTCGTGCTCGTTACTCGTGGGCTCCCACGAGCTCGTCGTGGGCGAAGCCGAGCTTCGGCTCGGGAGCTCGGGGGGTTTTTTTTTTTTCAACTATACATATTTTAAACCTTAAAAAAAATTAACAAAACCCACAAGCCGCTCGTCAAAAAACGAGCCGAGCAGGCTCGGCCCACCTAGCGAGCAAGCCAGCCTGCTCTACTCGGCTCGGACTCGTGGCTCATTTTTTGACGAGGCCGCTCGGCTCGATTGCCACCTCTAACATACGGCCATGCTATTGAAATTAATTTACATATAATGGTCATATCCAATGAATTTCCATAATATTAGTATCACTACTCACAAGGAACAATTGTCACGGTCAAGATAAACTACATTTTACAATTGGTAGAATATCTGATATTGCGACCTTATCAAACAAAATTTGCATAGAACAAATTATTTATCGATCGAATATGAGAGATATCTATCTTCTTTCTCTACGCCAACACCAAAATCATGTCGTCACAAAGCGATCGAAAGCACTTAATAGCACTCTCATAATTATAACTACAATAAATACATAAAAAAATAAAAATTAATAAATAAACATTTTAACTGTCAAACATAATGTTAATAATAACAGTCATGTCATAAGGCAGTCTTGACCCGATTTTTATTCGTTATCATCTACTACCACCATCAACATCCATGAGCAAATTTACAACTTATCGAATATCCATCGAATTATTTACTGTAACACTCAGCAAGGCAGATATTCCTTTTGAAATAAGTAATTTACATTTTTTGGTAAGCTTAACATTTAATTAAAGTTACTTTTAAGCAACTTTTTTATGTCTGTACATGCATAGATACATTACTTTCTTCCTTGAACAATATGATAGAAGGATCAGGAAGTGGGATTTTACAGTAAACATTAATCCTGAGGTGAAGGTGGGTTTCACAGAAGGCAGATAATGAACTGCAGAGATGAACTAAGTTTGATATTGAAAAACAAAATAAAGATAATAGTAATTATCAAGAAATGTTACTACAGTATTTTCCAATACAGAGAATTTTAAAACTCCACCTAATTTTCTCAAATCAATGGATAAAAGTGTTCTACATGCATTTTAGTACTATATCCAGCCATTGAACATATCTCTGGAAGTTTAAGCAAGCATGAAAATAAGAGTATATATATACACCCATTTCTCCAACTCCTCCAACTTAAAGAAATAAATAAACCCCAATTACTCCGGGATCAATAATTGAAAAATGGAGATAAAGAATAGGCAATTTTCATAATTCTAGAACAGCTGAAAGCATTCAAGAAACTAATATATACACCACAAAATGTAAACTTGCAGCCTGTACAAATAAAAAACACAATTAATTTGACATGTTCTAAGTTCTCATAGTTCACCAGCAATTGTAATACACATCTCATGCTATAAATTAGAGCGTTCAACATTTTTCGTGGGCTGAAGGAAAAAGTCATTCAGTTCACTTGAAAATGAAATCGAAATTGAGCATATTCTATCCATCAAGAAGAAAGAGTAGCTATAATTGCTAAGTGTCTAAAAAAATGATACATTTCACAACATTGGAATCTGGCAACAATATGTAGTATGCGAACCATCCACTAATCTATATAATGCTTGCAGAAACAAAACCTCAACAAAAAGCTCGCAGAAGATGGAAAACCTCATTTGATAGAACATATTGAGCTACTAAGAATTTAAGACAATGGAAACATTCACGAGCACGTTATAGTTGCAAAACAAGAGATGTAAAAGAAGCAGAAAGAGCATATAGTGTGGATTTTTTTTCCCTTTCCAAGTCCTACTCCATAATCCACAGGAAAATATTCCCCCTTCAATCAGACTGTATATGAATAAAAATGGTATGCAGCGTATGCTGCCAACAAATGAACTTTTACACGAGTGACAAATGGCCTTTTATATTTATATGTTACCCTTAGGAGCTAAATTACCATATCTGAAAAGATTGAAAAATTATTTACCTTCCTCCTAGCTGGAGAGGTTTCAAAGAATAGAAGCCATTTGGTTTTATCAACAAGGTGGCAGTGTTGCCAAAATGATAAGCTGTCAATATTGGAAGGAAGATGAGGGGAATAAGAACAAATTGAGAAAGAAAAAGAAGAGTTTTAAATGTCCATTCATTTCAGAACATTTATACAATGGAGATCTCTTCGTTTTGAGATCAAAGTAAGCTCAGAACCTAGTGAGCTGCACAAGTATGAGACTGAATAGAGGGGTTGTCATGCATTCTACTATAATGAACAACAGATGAATAAAACAAGTAAAAAACTAAAAATAAAAGATGAAATAGAGAAAAATATCATCTGAGTAAACAAGTGGGCAGATGCACCAAGTAACTACAAGCAACAACCTACCCAATATGTACATACTACCTAAGTTTCAGCTAAAAAGAATGTTCATGGTTACTTATTTAGCTGCTTTTGTCCACAAGTCACACATGGAAAGAGTGTGGTGACAGCAGGTTTTTTTCATTAGTAACACTAATCACGAATAATTCTTCTAGATAATAACAAAACTAAATATCAACATACTGTAATGTTTTTAATAATTGTTTCCCCAAATAGTAATATAATACTTACAAGTTTTAAGCAACGGTACTAAATTTTTATTGTACATGAGTACCTTATTTACTATATTTCCTCGTTAACCAATCATTCAGTTCAATCTTCTCCTTCTAGATTCACGGAAGTCTTCATTGTCCACATTTGAAGCACTTGGAGGAATGGTTCTTCCCCATGAAGATGGAGAAGGATCCACAGGGGGATCGATCCCAATAGCAGTCAACGTCAGGAAACGTTCAACAGCACCAGAAACATCACTTGTTTGGGAAGATGAAGAAATGGGCAAAGCGGAATTGATCTCCACCCTTGATTCTGGAGGCTGATTATAAGATCGTACCGTATTGAAATTGCTGGTAAGAGAAGTTCCCACACCAACGATTGAAGTCCTAACATCACTTCCTTGAATCCAATTATTACCAACTGTTTCACGATCCTCAACTGACCTTTCTGAATTATTTAAAGCAGATGAAACGGAAGCCATAAAAGCAATTCTTTCTGATAATACTCTTCGTTCTGGTCGGATCGCCAGAGCGCGATATCTTTGTGGCTCTGCTGCATTTAGTACCCCATGAGACTCAGAATTTAAACTGAAGTTACCGTTTCCACCTTGTTGCCCTGTTTGATTCCTCATTGCACCAGTAATTTCCCTTAGTGCTTGTGCAACGGAAGCATAAGACAGACTTAGGCCCACTCCCTGCTGCCTAAAACTATCAACTCTACGTGCTTTGGGCCTTGGAGGTATCTTCAAGCCGCATTCCACTTCAGAAACATGTTCAGTGCACCCATTGCTATAGATAGGAATTACGGCACTATCTGACACCTCACCTATACAAACTGGGCATTCCTTAATAGTCGAATAAACGTAAGGCAGCAAATAAAAACAAAGCCAACAAAACATGTGGCCGCAGCAAGTCAAGACAGGATCCTTCGCCATGTCAAAGCATAGATTACAATCATAAAAGCTTCCACCTTCCTTATTGGCATTCTTAAACTCAAAATCCAACATCTTTAATGCTTTCCCTACCAAATGGGAACCGTCCCTTTTAAAACTCTTTCCATTCTTGGAAGTCCTTTCTTCAACATTAATTCCATCATTTCCACCTTTCTCTCTATCCCAATTAACCAAAATCTCGCCCGAAAAGTTTCTAATTTCCCTAGAATCTTGCACTTGGTGAGACTTCTGCCGCCTAACGCAAATAGCAACAAACATGAGTTGGCGAATTCTCTCCTCTATCCTAACATCACCAGTTTCTAACTTATTCAACGAAGACCCAATTCTTACACCGAAATCAACATGTGGGTCCAAAGATTTGATCGAATGAAAATCCATCAAATTATTACCCCTTGAAATATCATCAGCCATTGCATGCAACAGTACTAAACTGCTAATTCACCAACTTCAACGAACAACATAAACAATCACTTTAATCAACCACAAATAACTAAAGCCCACACAGAACCTGGAACAAATTGAACACTGAATTAACCCAATTATACAGTTTACAAAATGAACTTGAATTGACCACATTAGCAAAAAATTAATCAAATTTCATTCATGATCAATCTATGAAGCCAAAATTTAACAAAAACAAAAATTTCTAAGAATGTAAAGAGATTAAGATGTGATGAACCTGAAAAACTGATGGTTTACTCACGTCTAATTTTGTTCACACGACATTCTTGTGAGAGAATATGGTGCGCGAAAAAAAAAAATAATAAATAGAGATCGCCGCTCACGTGGTGCGTTTTGCCTCAATTTTGTACCAGCAGTTCTGCAGAGTTGGCACCTGTAATTTACACAATCTGAAAATAAAAATTGTATCTTTTCAAAAAAAAAATAAAATACTAGATGTTATTCGAGGTCGAAAAGTGTAAATAAAGGTAATTCTTAGTTTCTTTGATAATAATTATATACACATTTCATCACAGTTTATTATAATTACCTCACATTTTAATTATAATTAAAATTTGTAATATTTGTTCTTTTTGAACTTATGTTTTTTTATTGCACTATTATCCTTAACTTTAAATTAAATTAGTACATTTTATTTCTAAAAGACGATTTTTATCCAATTATTCTAGCGTGCATTGAAATGATAGACAAATATTTGTCAAATTTTATATTTATTTTACTTATTTAAAAATACGAGAGATGAATTAATCTTTTTATATCTTCCTTGAGATTTTTTAAGATGGAAATCATTATCAAAGATATAATATATAAATTAATCTAAAAGTTGAGAATAAACACGTAAATAGGGGTATAAGCGCGAAAATAAAGAAAATTTGAAGAATATCGTTGCAATTAAAATTGTAATGTGTAATTAACAAAATATTGTATTATGAAATAGTTACCTTTCTCTAAATATAAACTTTGTAAGAAGTAATATGTCGTGGATATTATTGAAGTTATAGAAGTGTAAATCAAGGCTTATTCTTGCTTCTCACGGTTCAACCCAGCACAAACCTATTAGAATCGTTACTTTCGTTCAAGGGTGGAGCAAAGATGGTAAAGCTGTAGAGGCAAAATTAAGTGATAATATAAATTACAGTTTCAGTATAATGAAAAATCGACATAAAAGATTATTCTGTCCAAAAACGTACCTCAAGATAACATTAATATATCATATCCATCATCAGACAACTTTGTATAGTTTCTACATAAATGGACAACTTTATATAGTTTCTTCCTAAATAACAACATCAATTTCAAAAAGGAATCTATATCCCAAGTAGTAGAAATTTTTGCACTTACATTAAGGCCTTCATAGTTGCTCTTGCCGAGTTTTCATGTTCTGAAAACAGTGGATGGTTTATTAATTATCAATAGTATCAAACGTATCATTTTCAAAGTATGTAACCAAGCATCATTCATCCATTGATCACCCATCTGATTTCGCAAATAATTTTCAACTATGTTCATTGGCGAGAATGTCCTTTCAACCGTTGCAGTTGCAATTGGTAAAATCAAGGCTACCTTCACAAGTATATACACCATTGGATATACAACATTCCTTTTTGTTTGAACCAAATTCTTTGCAAGAGCACTAATTCCATCGACTTCTGAAAATTCATAACTAGACGACATATAAATTATGTAGGTCTCCAATTGATTATCAAGTGCCATCAGATCAAAGTTCAATAAATTCTAATGAGGAGAATTGAGAAAGACGAAGTAACTTATCTTTATCAAATGCATGGAAGAGCTATTTGGTTGTGATTTTTTGCAACCCTACAAGAGACAAGTGAAGTTGACGAGCAAAACAGTGAATATAAAAGATAAATTGATTCTCTTAAATTGAGACTTTAAGACCATTGAATTCTACTCTCATGTTACAAGCTCCACCATAGCTTTGACTATGTAATTTTGACAAAGTTAATCCATGCTTCGAAAACAATGACATTATTAAGTGATAAAGTAGTTGTGTCATCAACACGAACTATTCCAAAATCATTCAATGGCGCTTCCCTCTTTATTCACATGGCACAATAGAACAACTTTTTTTTTTTTTTTAAATGGGACATCACTAGACTCATCAATCAAAATAGAAAACAAACCATTTCCAAGATCATTAATTATTGCGCTCGTGGTTGCATATGCTGCTGCATATATAATTTCTTGATTTCTTAAATCGTCAAATTCATCGTGACCACGAAATGCCAACCCTTGACGTAAAAGAAATTGAACACAATCTACAGTGGCAGTCAATCAAATTTGGTACTTCATTCGAGCTTGAAAATATCGTCTTGAATAAAATGTTTCAATATGTTGCCTTTGATTCATTAGTCTCGACACTTTCTACAAACTAGATTATAAGCACTTTTGAAGTTTCTTACATGAACTCGAAAGTATGTATTTTTTTTCTTCCAATTTGAAAAGATTCACCTCCAGTTTGTTGTTTGCCAACATCAGCGCTCATAAGATGGCAACACAAACAAAAATCAGCATCCTTCTCAATATTATACTCCAATTTCCAAACTCATCAAATCGACTTGAAACCACGGGATGAATTTCCAAAATTAGTTTTTGGGAATTTGTGTCCATGAGGTTGACTTGGACCTCTCACTAAATAAGCTCTTCGAATTTCGACTCTATCATGGGAATGATAATTTTAAATTTCTTTTTCGTAAATCTGGATCTGTTGGAAGACTTTCTAAATCAATTTCAACACTTCTATATTTAGAACGTTGTGGTACAACGTTAATAAGGGAATGAAAGCTAATATAAAAAAAATAGTCAAACTAAACACAAGTTTTTCTAATAGTGGCAAAAGAACAAGGAATGGAAAGAATTAAAAAGAACATTGAATTTCTTTCAAGGGTAATTAGCACAAAACGTCCACACCTTTCATTGTTGTTGTGGAAAACGTCCATTTCTTTCTTTTTTTGACATTTTAACCCTTATTTTCACATTTTTATTGCACAAAAGGTCATTTTTATCTACTTTTTCAATTAAAAATTGTGAAATGAAGAAAATACCATTCCTTTTAAATAAAATAAAAAGAAAAAGAAAAAAATTAATTGCAAACATAGTTCCAACTTTTTTGAAAAGCACAAATGAGTCCCAAATAAATTACTAAAAGAGTAATTAACATATAATGTCCCTACCTTTCACTATTATTATGAAAAATATTCATACCTTCTATTTTTTTTGGTATTTTCTTCCTTAATTATAATTTGATAGCGCAAACCATCATTTCTATCCATTTTCATCCAATTTCTCAATAAAAAACAGTGGGATGACGAATATACCCTCATATTTAAATAAAAAGCTAAAGAATTAATTGCAACCATTGTCCATTTTTTTTTTAAAAAAAAGTGCAAATGAGTCCCAATTAAACTTATTTAAAAATTAAAAAAATTAAAAAGTGCAAACGAGTCCCAAATAAATTATTAAAGAATTAAAAATTTTAAAAAATATTTTGTTATTTAAATATGAGGGTATGTTCATTATTTCACAATTCTTTATTAAGAAATTGGATGAAAATAGATAAAAATGATGGTTTACGTTATCAAATTATAAAAGACATGGATAATTTTTCGTAATAATAGTGAAATGTATGGACATTTGTGCTAATTACGCTTTTAATAATTTATTTGAGACTCATTTGCTTTTTTCAAAAAAGTTGAGACTGTTTGCAATTAGTTTTTTTCTTTTTTCTTTTGTTTGATTAAAAGAAATGGTATTTTTGTCATTTCACAATTTTTAGTTGAAAAAATTGATGAAAATGACATTTTGCACAATAAAAGGTGGAAATAAGGGTGAAAATGCTAAAAAATGAAAGATCCACGTTTTTCACAATAACATTGAAAGGTTGGGACGTTTTGTGCTAATTACCCTTTCTTTTAACTATAAGCATTTTCACATAATGGGGATGAATAAAACAAATGCACTTAACTTTAAATTTTATATATAAGTTTTGTAGCACCAAAAAGGCAAAAACAACAAATAGTATTCAACCAAAGGCCCTCTCTCCGTAGGACTCGCTATCTATGCCACAAGGCAAGCTGCATCTCCTAGTTCGGGTATTAGTTCTCAATATATTGTACTTTAGAAATCACAATGGAAGCTAATGAATCAATGGACTTTGCAATCTGCATTGTTATCCCTCTAATAACTCAAATAATTGGCTTGATGGTTTTGTTTCAATTTTTATGACAGAACAAAACAGTGAATATAAAAGATAAATTGATTCTCTTAAATTGAGACTTTAAGACCATTGAATTCTTCTCTCATGTTACAAGCTCCATCATAGCTTTGACTATGTGATTTTGACAAACTTAATCCATGCTTAGAAAACAATGACATTATTAAGTGATAAAGTAGTTGTGTCATCAACACGAACTATTCCAAAAAATCATTCAATGGCGCTTCCCTCTTTATTCACATGGCATAATAGAACAACTTTTTTTTTTTTTTTTAACTGGGACATCACTAGACTCATCAATCAAAGTAGAAAACAAACCATTTCCAAGATCATTAATTATTGCGCTCGTGGTTGCATATGCTGCTGCATATATAATTTCTTGATTTCTTAAATCGTCAAATTCATCGTGACCACGAAATGCCAACCCTTGACATAAAAGAAATTGAACACAGTCTACTATGGCAGTCAATCAAATTTGGTACTCCATTCGAGCTTGAAAATATCGTCTTGAATAAAATGTTTCAGTATGTTGCCTTCGATTCATTAGATCTCGACACTTTCTCCAAACTAGATTATAAGCACTTTTGAAGTTTCGTACATGAACTCGAAAGTATGTATTTTTTTCTTCCAATTAGAAAAGATTCACCTCCAGTTTGTTGTTTGCCAACATCAACGCTCATAAGATGGCAACACAAACAAAAATCAGCATCCTTCT